GGGGGGGGGTCAGTGTGTGTGCAGGGTGTCCAGTCCTGTCCTGGGGGTCCAGAGGAGAGCTGGACACTCTGGCGCCCCCAGGCCTGAGAACGGGGGGCCCTGGTGCAGATCAGCTCGATCATCCCATCCCATTCCCCCCTCCCCCCTCCTCAGAGACCTCAAGCTGGACAACGTCATGCTGGACCAGGACGGCCACATCAAGATCGCTGACTTCGGCATGTGCAAGGAGAACATGTTAGGAGAGAACAGGGCCACCACCTTCTGCGGGACGCCCGACTACATTGCACCCGAGGTAGGGGCAGGCCCGGGCGGCGCTGGGGGGGGGTCCTTACCTGCAGCCGGTAAGACCTGGACTGGACTGCCATGCTGTGGTCATGTCCCGGCGCCCGGGCGCTCAGTCTGCGTGTCCGTCTCTCCCCGCCCTCAGATCCTGCTGGGTCAGAAGTACTCGTTCTCGGTGGACTGGTGGTCGTTCGGCGTGCTGCTCTACGAGATGCTGATCGGCCAGTCGCCGTTCCACGGGGACGACGAGGACGAGCTGTTCGAGTCGATCCGCATGGACGTGCCCCACTACCCCCGCTGGATCACCAAGGAGTCCAAGGACATCCTGGAGAAGGTCCGTCCGGCCCGCCGGCCCTCCCGCCGGGCTGTCGGCTCTGTGTCCCGGCGTCCCGCGTGTTCACTGTGTGTGTTCGTCCTGCCAGCTGTTCGAGCGCGACCCGACGCGGAGGCTGGGCATCACGGGCAACGTCAAGGCACACCCCTTCTTCAAGACCATCAACTGGAACGCCCTGGAGAAGAAGGAGGTGGAGCCCCCCTTCAAGCCCAAAGTGGTATGTCCCGCGCTGTGCCCCGCCCCGCCCCGCCCTCTCCCCCATTCTCCTGGGCTCCTGTGGCACGGGGCTCCGTGACACCCCGACATTTCGCCCGCCTGCCCGATACGACGTCATTGGACCGCTCGGTTGCTGCTTCTGAAGGTCGTTTTCACGAGCCCCTGAGCACAGCCGGGGCCGGTCCGAAACGGCAGGAAAGGCGTGTGTCTCCGCTGTCTCCTGCCCCCCCCCCCATCTCCTCGTTTCCATGTCGGGGGTCGGCCGGGGTGCGTGCTGGGAAACGCTCTCCCCGATGGCCCGTGGTACCGGGGTGACTCCCAGCAGCAGAGCCGAGCTCACGAGCTGGCTGCGCCTGTCTGCAGCTCGTCTGCGAACAAGCGCACGAAGCTCATACTGAAGGCGTTCTGCGACGGCTGACCTGATGTTATTTCAGTTCCAAGCAGATGGTCCGTTCAGAGAGAAGCCCAGTTAATTGTAATGACTTGTTCATAGTATTTCTCCCGACTGTGGGCACCCCATACCCCGCGCTGTCCAGCGTCTGCTCAGGTCCTCCCACGTCCAGCTCGGGTCTCGGGTGCCCCTGGCAACTGGAGGAGGGTCCAGTGGGAGGGGCTGTTACGTTGTGATTTGCCCCAGGAGGGGAGTTCATCCTGAAACGTCTCTCTTCAAGGGTTTTCCTGCGCTGCTTTTGTCCTGTTCGTTACAGATTAGCGCCACCTGTAGGGAGACAAGTGCATTACGCACATAATCCTCAGTAGGTTTCCAAGAGACGGCGATGAAGCAGCTGCCAGGGCTGGGAAGAGCTTCAGAAATGGGGTGTTCAGGCACCCCTTCTCTGAGGTTTGCTGGTGCTCCTGTCTGCGCCTGGCTGGCTGGTTAACGACCCCCCCCCCTCTGTGTGCGCTTGCAGAAAGCCCCCAACGACTGCAGCAACTTCGACAGGGAGTTCCTGGGCGAGAAGCCGCGCCTGTCCCACAGCGACAAGAACTTCATCGACTCCATGGACCAGTTGGCCTTCCAGGGCTTCTCCTTCATCAACCCCAAGATGGAGGTGATGCTGGAGAAGTGAGGGGCAGCCGGAGCTGGGCCGGACCGGACCGGACCGCGCTGGGGGACGGAGTAGGGCTTGGTGTCCAGTGTTACACACCTGTGTGGGGGAGGCGGGAGGGCCCAGATGTAAATCTGATCAATAATCTACTACTCTTACAGATCAAATTTTAAAGAAAAAATATAAAATAATAATGTTGTACTGTAACGTGATTGTAATGTACCTAGCGTAGACCCAGGCCTCGTCTTAATGGCAGCAATCTTGTTCTGGTAATTACTGTTCTGTGCATGCCAGGGAATTGAGGGTGCCAGGTGTGCGTGTTTGTGTGTTTGTGTGTTTGTGTGTTTGTGTGTTTGTGTGTTTGTGTGTTTGTGTGTTTGTGTGTTTGTGTGTTTGTGTGTGTGTCCACACCGTGCTGGGGTGGTGGCAGACAGGACCAACAACACCACGATTTGCTCCTTTCTTCCCAAACTCTGTGTTCCTATTGGAGGGAAAACCATCTAAAATACCCCAAAGAATTTTAAATTTTACAACGGCTTCCAGATAGCAAAGACTCTGTCTAGGAGCCATTTAACCATGAAATCTTATTCCTTAAAACTGGCTCCACCCTGATCGGGGTTTTAGCTTCACATGACAGACTAGTGCTTGTGCTGTGGATAGCCTGTGAGAGAGACAGTGGTCATCGGGCTCTGGTCTGCTCCTGCAGTGTCCTGTGTGTGAGAGACAGTGGTCAGTGGGCTCTGGTCTGCTCCTGCAGTGTCCTGTGTGTGAGAGACAGTGGTCATCGGGCTCTGCT